TATTTTTAACGATAATCGCTATTCTCTAAAATGGTATAACGATTTTCGGATCGCAAAGAAGACTTTGCGATAATTCTAACGATTTTAATATTCGGTGTACTTGTTATAACGATATTCGCTCTCGCTATTGTCGTAAACTACTCGAAAAATCGCTAACTAAGCGACGAATATTTTTAAGTTGTTAGCGATATCGACAAAATTTTGTTATTTCATTTAAGAGAGTAAAGTGTCCGGGAAATTGTCAAAGTTATACAAAAATAAAAATAAAAAAATAAAAGAAATGGTTTTGAATATTTGGCATACGTTTTATCACAATATGACGAGGTATCCTAATCTTCATCATTGAATAGAAGTTTGCGTCGAGAAGCGGAAGATCCTTTTCATTTGGATGCTACCGAGTTTCGCCGGATTTAGTTGAAGAAATCGTTTCTGAACTAGATTGCCAACTAAAAGGAAGAAGAATAACAGCATTGTCTACGGAGAAACAGGTAATAATATATATTTTCAATATTTTTTTTAGTCTTAACACTATTATAATGTTTAAAGGTTCTACCCGCCTCGCGATTTTTTGCAATGGGCATGTCCATGAGTCAGTCGTCAGTAAACCGTTGTGTTCATCGCGTAACAGACGCAATCAACCGTTCAAGGTTTTCTGTTAGTTTTCCAAATTTTTGCTTCGTCATCGTCACCATATGTTGGAGGCACTATTGGAGCTATCGATTGCACATGAGTTAAAAACCATGAAGAAGCGTATATAAACCACCATGGATACCACTCCATCAATGTGCAAATGGTGAGAGTAAATTTGTTTCCGATTACTATTGTAGTAACAAAGTTAATTATATTTTCACATAGATATATGGTCCTTATCGCAAGATTATACTGGCAAATGCCAAGTACCCAAGAGCGCGGCACAATTATTTTATTTGGAGCTCCCCTATAGAGCGAAGAGTCATGCATGAAAGTGCAAACCATAACATGCTATTGAAAAACTTTGTAATGCATTGCTATTCTTTTAATTAAAATAATTTCAATAACAAATTTATTTGTTTTTGTCATTCCTCTTTGTGCTTTTCGTACATTTTGACGTTTCGTTGAGCTGTGGTGCCACCTTTCCTACATTTTAATAAAATGGAAATGTGCGATGTCGATTATCGTAACAACTGCGTTAGAGAATCGCATAATCGTTAGCGCAAGCGACAAAATTCGTAACTTTGCGATCCGACAAATCGTGTCGATAAAAGTTACAGAATTGCACTGCAGAGGTGTTAGGAAACCAGCGGTCATACGGACCTCTTCCGACAATCTATGTACATACAGTTATGCATGTGATTGACACTTTACAAGCTGGTTATTGAGGGTTCCGCTTCCTTTATTAACATTCGCATTTTCGAAAAGACTTTAGTTTAAAACTGTATACTAATTAAAGCTTCTTTACCGTGATAGGTAGGCTTGTAATGCCAATTGTAATATCCAAATTGAACAAAATACAATAGTCACAGGAACATGTGGCCGGATCCACCAGTATATTACAATCTATAAAATTTAAAAGAATTTTTTGATTCGTTCGAAGGTAATCTGGTACAGAGCTTGTTTACTGTATGCAGAGAACACTTCTCCAGCCAGCTGAATGGTAGTGAAAGTATTACGCCCGTGTTGGTGAACCTGAAACAAGCTGACTTACTCTCGTGTGACTCCTTTATCCATTTTTCGAGGAAATAATACGAGCTGGATAGAGAAAGTACACTATTCTATAAGAGTGTATAATTGCTGGCATATGCCGATGACATTGAGATGATAGGCCTTAACAATCGTGCCGTTAGGAGTGTTATACGGTCAGTTATACGGTGACAGTGACATAGTTCATATCGTCCGAATGAAAAAGTTACCTATGCATCCAGTTTTAAGTAATTCGAATTATAAATGAGATTTTCTCGAATCGCTACATACAAAATGTATTGCAAAATTAATGTTCTTTACAATTTGTTTTTGGGATTTCTTTTTGTGTTTCTTGTGGTACTATATATATTTAGATCAAAAGTTTTCTATTAATATTGGACTGTAAATAATCGAATAAGCAGTCATCGTATTTGCGACCTGGCTCCCCCGTCACTGTTAACAGTCATAAGTTATAAGTCATTCGAGGTTACCGATAATTTCGTCACGGTAATGCCACCAATGTAATTTCAGCTTTGAAATCTAACGCAAAATTACTCTTGCCATCAGGTGCAAATTTAGACTGAGTAGGCAATGGAAAAGTTAAGTCCTCTCCCGGCGAACAAAAATCAACCTCGATTCGCTCATCATACCCGCCCTAAACGTGGACGATGTCAACATCTGATAAGTCGCCTTTGGAGTCTTCGAGTGAGGTTTTCCGAACGATTTATGGCCCTTTGCGCATTAGCAATGGCAAATACTGCAGACGATGGAACGACAAGCTGGACAGGCTATACAATGATATTGACATAGTTCAGTGAATGAAGAGACAGTGTCTACGCTGGCTAGGTCATGTCGTCCGAATGGATGAAAGCACTCCAGGTTTGAATTCGTATTCAATGCAGTACCCGCTAGTGGAAGCAAAGGAAGACCCCCACTCGGTTAGAAGGATCAGGTGGAAAGCGACCTGGTTTCACTTTAAATTTCCAACTGGCACCAAAAAGCGTGCAGCTATTGATTCGGCTACAATCGCGAAAGAGGTCCCAACGCCAATAAAGAAGAAATAATTATTATTTCCATTTTCTTTAATGGAAAAAAGTCATTCTTTTAGAAAATGCTGTCACTTTGCCACCTCATTTTAAAGTTACAGTCTTTATTAAAATTAATCAATCTTGTACATACAGTGGCTCAATAAAGAACTCGGACATACATTCCACTGTTATTAACATGCAGCTCAAGCTAGATTTTTTTAGTCAATTGATATTAAGCATTTTTGTTTTTTATATTTCTATAGGGTATCCAATAAGGATACAAAAATACCAAGAACAAACAAATTAAATAGTTTACAGGTCTCCTATACCCTTACTTCAAAAAATTAACATGTGGCAGCTAGAAATTTCGCCAAAAAGAAGTCGGACATTTCAAAAAGGGGAATCCCACAAATAGTTGGGTTTCGTTTAAAAATACATACGTATATAATCAATAGCTTAATATAAATTTTCAGTAGTTTTTTTTTTTTTTTTTTTTTTTGTTGAAAAAAAAGGTGAAAAGTTCAAACATGGGTAGACAGCGTGGGCAAAGCTCAATTGAAGTAAGGAAGTTAATTATTAGTCATTTTGAAATGGGAAAAACCATTCGGGAAATCGCAGAAATTGCCAGCAGACCCCGCTCGACTGTGCATGACGTGATTAAACGAACACAAAATACGTGGAAAACAAAAATAAGTCTGGACGACCGAAGTTGTTTTCGGCTGCAGATGAGCGGTGGATAGTGCAGCAAATCAAAAAAATCCAATCATGAGCGCTCCCAAGCTCACAACAGAAGTTTTGCAACACCTCAACATAAATTGTAATCCGGAGAGTATCCGAATAGTCTTACGAAAAAATAATTATAATGGAAGAGTAGCACGGAAGAAACCATTTATAAAAGAGCTTAACCAAAACAAAAGGATAAGATTTGCAAAATGTCATGGGGATTTTCAATTCCGGAAACAAGTTTTATTTGCAAATGAAAGCAAATTCAATATATTTAGGTCAGATGGACAGTCGTATGTTTGGAGAAAACCACATAAAGAGTTGCTAGAAACGAATTTAGGTCCGATTGTTAAACACGGGGGCGGCTTAGTAATGGTATGGGGTTGTATGTCCGCAGCTGGTACAATAAATTTGTGTTTCATAAATGGTAATATGGACCACATGCAATATTTGACCATTTTAAAAGAAAATTTAGTGCAAAGTGCGGAAAAGTTGCGAATTAAATACAATTTCCAGTACTACCAAGTCAACGATCCCAAGCATAAAGCACTTGATGTCCGTCTATGGATGATGTATAAATGTCCTAAAGTCCTTGAAACACCTCCTCAATCTCCCGACATATACGTAATTGAACATCTGTGGGTTCATTTGGAAAATAAACTGAAAATGCATGTTATTAGAAATGAGAAAGACCCAGAAGCCGCTATTTTGGAAGAGTGGGGGAAAATAAATTCTTTAACATGCAAGAAGCTAGTTGAATCTCTGCCAAGAAGACTGAATGCTATCAGAAAAAGTAAAGGCTTGCCGACCAAATATTAAGAATATTTGGTTTCTCTTTAAATAATATTTTTAAATTCTATCTTATGTATATGTCCGAGTACTTTTTTGTCATCAGTTTTGTTTAGTTGTTATGTTCATATTATTTTTATACGACCGAGTTGAATTTAGTTTATGGTTTTAGTTGTTTCGAAAAATACACTTGAAGAATAGAAATATATATTAAACAGAAAACCCTCGATTTGCAATTTATTATATAAATATTTTTTTGTTTGAAATCATATAACTTGGGTGTCCGAGTTCATTTTTGAGCCACTGTATGTTTGTACAAAATATGATACCGTATGATCAGACATGCAAGTTAAGTGTAAACTAAAAACAATGCACGTTATTGATTAATATTTTATACGCTCTTAAGAACAAAATACTTGTCAAAGGCTCCCTTCGCGTAACCAGCATTCCATTCGGTTTTATGAAGATTGGATAAACGAGTATGTGACTGCAATATTAAAATTGTTCATATAAGTGGGGATACTCAACTGTAATAATGCTCACTTCAATGCACAAACAATTGAAATATTTTTTACTTGCTGGGGAAAAGTGGCAATTCGCTTTTGACAAAAAATGCAAATTCTTTACACACAACCAAATAGTCTTGCTAGAACTTCCGCTAGAACGGTAACGATGCAAATAAGTATGGGAAAGAGAAAAACGCTATTGCTTTAACGTAAAGTTAAAATTTTTGAGAATTGAGCAAGGAAAACAATATACATACTTATTATATAATAAAGTGAATTAATATCTTTCACTTACCATAAAAGGAAAATTCCCAAATATTATTTTAGAATTATTTCGATTTTTCTTTGCCACGAGTATTCAACAAATCAGATATTTTTACTTAATTATTTGTATGCAGCAAAGCGTTTTGGCGAAGCATGTTATGGATTGGCGCTCTTTTCTTGTTGTAATTATAATCCAGCATTCTTCCATTGTAAGGTTATGTTGGACTTACGAAGAATCAGCAATAAATATTTCTGCAGAAAACAAGACAGAGAAAGGCACGTGTTGAATTAGTATTTGGAATAGACTTGTAATTAGGTTAAAATTAAGAAACGAAGCGAATAAATTTTTTTGAAATATCTGAAAAATCTGAGTTCTAATGACAAATTTTCCGCCGCTAGGAACGTGTATACGAGGGTCGTCTGATAAGATCGCGGCCTATAGTATTTAATGACACAATGTATAGTTTTATGTTTTTTATTTTTAATATAGTCTCCCTCAAGTGAAATACACTTTCACATCGTGAATACAATACCTTCAAACTACTGAAAAAATATTCTCCAGAATTCTCTTCAAAATGGCTTTCTACGGCCACTTTCATCTCACTGTCGTCTGAAAATCTTCGTCGCCATTATTTCTTCTTTAAATTTGAAAAAAGAAAAAAGTCACTGGGAGCCAGATCCTGATTGTAAAGTTGATGGTTAATTTCCAGTAGCTTTCACGGCATCCCTCGCAAGTGGTGTATGCGGCGCTAACTTGCCACGCCCTTTTGTACGACTACCTCAGTCGCCTGCCTCAAACAATTATCGTTATACTGCCCGTTTATCATGGCAAGTTTGGCTATCCCAGAAAGTTGTAGCCACAATTTGCAACGCTGACTTTTCAACTTGTTTTTTTTTTATTTTGTCTTTACAACTCTCCAATCGTTGCTGCTTATCGAACGTAATGAGCACTCGCGGTACCCACGGACACTTTTCATACCCAAATGCTCATACGAAACCCTCCAGATCATTCTTTGCTAATTTGTAATTCTTCTGCTATCTGCCACAATCAATTCCATTATCCAGTATTAATTTTTCGACTTTCCGAATATTTTCTACGGTTACAACCGTCAGTTGGCGCTCCGGGCGGGGTCATCTTCACACGTCTCTATTCCTTGTTGAAACAGCCAAGCCCATATTTTCATCATAGTATATGAAGGGACGAGTACTAAAGAACCCGTGACATTTCTTTAAAAATTTCTTTCGGCGTACTTACTTTTTTGCAAGGAATTTAATTCCAGTTCTCCAAGTTGAGAGAATTCCCAGTTTCCGTTAACATAGTGTTGTTGAAGCAAAAAAGATGAGATCGTATACCTACATCTGTGAGAAGATAAATTCCGTTGTACATAATAGGCACTTTAGCCTATTGTAATACCTTCAGGGGAAATATCATAATACCCGCTAACTCGGTCAAATACCTTAGAGTAATATTTGATTAAAAAAAATAACATAGCTGGATGGAACATATCGAAAGCAGGGTCAACAGACAATACCTGATGCGACACCAAATGGTGTATTCATCGCATTTTATTTAACATTAAAAGGTTAAATTTTGTTCGTATCATAATATTTTTTGATTTTTAGTTTTCAAAGTATCAATATTTAATAGTATATTTATTTTAAATTTCGACTTTCCACTCTTAAAAATCTGTTCGATTCATTGAAATATAAGTATTTGCCCAGTTAGATTACTCCCAGAACTAATAATCAGAATATAACATTACGTGCGGGCATGAAGCCCAATATATATATATAAAGGGTCCGCCACGTAATTTTTTTTTTTTTTAAATGCAATAAAACAAATGCCCATTCGGCAAAGGCAAACCACATCGGATGGTCTCGTGGCTTCAATTCTTGAACCAATTGAACTTCGTATGGTGTCATACCAAGGTCTTTTTTCGAAATTCGCCTAGAGACGTCTCGGAAATGTCCAATTGTTGAGAGCGACGCTTCACTGATGTTCCGGGCGCCTCACGCACACTCTCGGCCACAGCAGCGATATTACCGGCAGTACGCACTATTTTTGGTTTCTCACGAGTTGGTTTATCAATAATCGTGCCGGTTTCTCTCAATTTTTTCAAAAGAAAGCGCACATACAGAGCGGACGGTGCTTTCTTACGGCTCATTTCCGTGCGTAATTTTCGCACACATTTTCAAAGTAAAACTACACTATTTTAACGCGTTCCTCAATCGGATACAGAACCATTTTCGTTCAGCGGAAGGATAAAACTAACTTTCTGTCAAATCAGATGTAACATCAGTGTTACCACATTCAAAATAACCACTAGTTCAAAAAAAAAAAAATGTTAGATGGCGGACCCTGTAGCAAAGTAATCACAAACGGGGCGCCTGTCAGATGTGAAACATCGAAATTATTTTGTAAAAGCAATATGCAGAAAAGAACAGATTGTGATAGGTACTAAATATGTTATAATGATGAAATAAAATATTATGAGTTGTTTTCCAGATAACGATGAATATTTATTGAAAAAACATTTATTTTCAATAAATACAAAAATTTACGAATTTATTTTCAATCGTGACTACTTAATTCGTTTAATCAGTGACTTTGGTAATAGTTATATTCGATGTTCCCTTTGAGAATAATATTACTGTGACAATTGGTTGATGATAACTGAAGTATGTTACAAAAGTAATGGACTTATCATAATCAAGATATCTAATAAATACAGCATCTATTGTTGTTCCGTATCTGGTGGTAGGTTCTCTTGGATTGTTATCAATTTGCAATTAAAATTCTTCTTGGAAAATTTACATTGAAATCCCCAGTTTAAATCAATGGTAGTTTGTCGTTATTGGTTTTGAAAATTATTGAACCTCTGTGACTGTACGAAAGTAATCTCTCGTGTAAAAATGAAATGATGTCATTTATTTTTTTTAGGAGAAGTGTTCGCAACAATCATCAGTGGTGGTGGTTTGGCATAAGGAAAAACTGTTATTCACTTCAAATTAAGTAAAACCTTTGGAAATAGACTAGAAATATAATGGTTCTCATTAAATGTTATTTAAAAAAAAATGTATTAATATTTCAGAATCTTTTTAATCATCATCATTTTATTATTCATTTTATATATGAAATTTTTTATTTTTTATTCATTTAATTTATTTTATAATTTATTTATTACATAAATATTTTTTTATAGATAATTAAAAATAACAAAAATAAAAATGAGTATGAAAAATATATAAACATTAATATTATATTTTGGCACCTTAGAAGGGAATTTGTGCGCAACCAATTGTGCCACAGCACAACATAAAAAATTGTGGCATATTCTTCACTTATACCGAAGCAAAAGAACATAGGTTTTTCTTCCTCTTATTCAAATAAGTGTATACGAAAGAATATGTTCTCCCCGCGCGCACTTCGTTCACAATCGACTTCGCTGATTTTCACAGTGCACGCGCGTCTATACGATCAATGCGTACAATGATTTCAAAGGGGCAGGCTCATTAATTTATGTGAATTGAAGGTGTAGTATTGTCTAATTTTATTACATTTTGAATTGATTTGACATTACTAATTCTTTTAGATCTAAATTCAATCTATATTTATTAAAATCGTATGCTTTGAGGGCATTTACATTTGTTCGAGAGTACAGCGGGTAGGGAAATTTCTTTAACTTCTGATTTTTGTGATCTGTGGCTTATGGAAGAGCTCCACACGAGGAGAGGTATTGCATTCGCCATACATACGCTTTGTTGACGATGCGAATAATAATTTTTAGAAGTTCAACTAAAACAGTTTTCTATAACTTCATTTTTTTTTTTTTTCAAATAATATAGTCTGAGTAATCTTAACATAAATAATGCAAACAAATTCAAGAATTCAAGACATAAAAGTAAAAGAGATATAAATATTCAAAAGACAGCAAATATCATCGTGTCAATTAATTGTTTGCATTATATAATATAATTAAAACTGGGAAAATATAGCAGTGTTGGTACCAATATTTGGTATGATGACCACTTGCATCCATAACAGCTCGGAGACGACGTGGCATGGACTATTCAGTCCTTATTCAAGGTTGTTTAATTCATAATTTTCAAGTATCTTGTTCCACTCTTTCTGAATGACCTTAATATGAGCGTTTTTATTAGTAGAGCCCCGTTTGTCCACTCGCTTTAAAAAGGCCCAGGAGTGTCAATCACTTTACTGCAATTATATAGTAGATACGTCCTGCACAGTAAGGATTTATGTTTAGGATCGTTGTCCTGTTACAGTTTGTAACTTAATTTATTAGGGTTTTCATGGTCAATAAATTCAAGTCTTATCGCAATCCTTGACAATTCGTTCTTTAGAATGTCCAAGTAAATAAACGTCATCACGTCATTTAAAATCGGAGCTGACCGACACCTTTCGACGAAATGCAACCATAAACCATTACAGAAAGCTTACCAAACTTTACTGTTGGAATGATATTTTTCTGTTGCAAAGCTGTATTTGATTTTCTCCAAACTTTACTGGGTCCATCATGATAGTATAATATTATCTTTGTCTCGTCGCAAAAAAATAACGTCATCCCAGTATTCCGCAGTCCTGTAAACATTGGTAATAAAAAAGTTGTGCCGCTTCTCAATATTGAGTACTGACAAAAATGGTTTCTTTCTAGCGAGGAGTACCTGTGTAATTTTAAGAGTTTTCGGATTGTTTCGTGACTTACTGTTTTGTGGCAGACATTTATAATATCTAACCCCGATTTTCTCAGGCTGGTTTGAGGATTATCAGTGATATGCTTTAAAATTTTTGAATGAACGCGTCTAGAAAGTTTCGGTGGTCTACCTCAAGAGTGCTTTAACTCCAACCTGTTTTCTTTTTCTACGCGCTTAATAATATCATAAATTGTTTTAAGCTTGATTTAAAACATTTCCGCTAATTCCTTAGCCGATTTCCCTATGTCGTAGTTTTATTTTGAATTGTGTGGGCATTTTGCAAAGAATTAACTGACAACACAATATTTGGCGAATTTTAAATTTGTTATTTTATTTATTGTTTTTTTATTTTATTTCGAGTTTAATACCAATTAATATAAAATAAAATTTGAAGAGAGATTCTTGTGATTTTTTTAATTTTTATTTTATATCAAATATAGCTTACAACATAAATATTATAAGCTATTTGTTCGGGAGCTATAGCTACTAGGCCTTAAGCTCAACTTGTGATTTTTACATTTTGCAAACAAAAATAATTG